CATATGTACTTTTACTTTTCATTTTTTATTCTTTATTCTTTAATTTGTACTATCCTTTGTAATATAATTCCTGTGAAATAAAGAGTAAAATTATTTTATTATTATATGCCCTTTGTATGCCTTAAGGCATTTTAGGTCTCATGCCAAAAATTGTTCGTGGTGAACAATAAATACCAGGCGTGTCAAAATGCTGAGTCTCAATTGATAACAAAAAAGGTCCCGAGCTCCTTACTACAATTCACTCGGATGTAAAAAGATATAAGATTTTGGTAAAATAAGTGTTTAATTTTATTAAAATGCGAGAAGTTACAAGTTTAAATTGAAAGTAAAACTAGCTGATAAAACTAAAGACTATAAAGTACAAAAATGTGAGTCTTTGATTGAGTATTGACTGTCTTTTTTCTGTGTCTTCATCTTTTATTCATAATATCATAGTAGTGGTAGCCTCTCCATTAATACCTAACACGTTTTGCCAAGAAATTAGGGATCTCGCAAAACTCATGACACAATCTTTACTCTGAATTTTTCATTTTTGGTAATTAGCTTGTCTCATCGAGATACTTGGGCATGATGTTTGTGGATTCAGGAATTATTCAAGATTGTGTCTTCTTGTGCCAACAGTCCAATGTTTGTAATTGGCTGGATTTCAACATGTTTATTTTATCATGGCTTTTATTGAGCTTCAAAGCCGACCCTTTTGTTTATATTGGGCTGATCTTTAGTTATTCAGTCCAACTAGCCTCGTGACTTATCTGAGCGATGTTTTATATTTTAACCTAAATAGCCAGTTAATAAAGTCACAAGAAATAATTTCTTACGTGATTTGTGGGGCCCACCTGCCAAACACCGTGCTCAAATAATTTTGCAAGATTCACTATTAAAAAAATTATTTTTATTAATATTTAGCAATTATAGATTATTCCATAATTAAGCTAAATATTCTTAGAGCCTTTTATTCAGCAGTTTTTAATTGTTAAATATTCTTGGTTTATTAAATATTTTTTAACTCAAAATCTTTTGACATTAAGGAGTTTTGGCCTGTTTGTGTTGTTGGAAACACATGATTATAATATAGTTAATTGATAGAAAATGAAAAGAACTAAATTGACATAGTAACCAACTAACCATAAATATTTTTGGCAAAAAAAAAAACATAAATATTTTTTTCTCCTAAAAGGAGGGTAACGGAGTAATTAATAGAAACATAAACCAGGGTTGATGTGTATAGGATTGTGAATTTAGATTTTTAATTTATAATGAGTGATCGTTACCACGGGGGAGATTATTTCCATGATTATGGTCAACCAAACAGGATCGCATCGAATACAATTATAAATAATATTCATATCCAAATATATGATGATTCCTATATGTGACAAGTGTTCTTTTCAGTAAATCATGGGTAGTTGAAGCAAACAAGACCTTTGTCTTCAAAGATTATTTCACCATACCAAATGATGCATATTGTAGCATCTCCCATTATTAAACCTACTATTCTTTAAATCACTTATCGTTTGTTTATATGGGAATGAAGGAAAACTAGGAAATAAAACTCTTAAAAGTAATTAATTAAAATATTACTATTTTTAAAAATTTCTCCTCTTAATTTTTTCCCTTCCCATTTTCTTCTCATTTTTTCATTTAATTTCATCGAAACCAATAAGCCACTATGACTGCATAAATAAAAATTATATATGGCGACTCGGGAAATAAGGTAGTGGAAAGAGGGATTTTTTTTTTTTTTTGGCTAATTGGAGGAGCGGATCGTCTCTGGTATATACCAACCAATGTACTGACCATCATGACACCGCAAAACTTAGTCATGCACTATAAACCACGTACGTTTTGAAACAATAATATAAGAATATGTACCCCTTATTGCTGCCTTTGATCAAGGCCAAGAATACACATATAATTATAACTAAAACTGTACATAAGAATCATAAGGGATGACTGAGACTTTGAAGAATCCAGGCGCGACCAAAAAGGAAGAAGAAAGAGTTTGTGAATTTGCCAGAGAAATTTGAGGTTCAGATATAAATTGAACCAAAACAAGGACAGCTAGACCCACATATTAATAAATATTAACAAGGTTCAGATCTTGTGTTTTGTATTGAAACAAAAATTCAAGTGGATCCCATTTTTGTCACCACTCAGACGCCCGTTTATCTTTGGATCATTTTCATTTCGTTAGTATTATGTCATAATTAAAATTAAACTCGTACGTGGGGCCCACCATTGGCTCTTCCTCCTCGATCGCTTTCTCTTTTTCTGCAGAGAGCGACAAACAATTTACCTGCCCCGGACCATGTAATTCAAGGTTAAAAAGACTTTCCGACAGAAAAAAAAAAGGTTAAAAAGATTTTTTTTTATTCATTTCATTAACATTGAAAAATAATAATATTAAGAAAATAATAAAAAGGTTCTAAAAAATTAATTAATTCAAGTTAATTTTAAATATTAAATTTTAAAAATTTATAACTCAATTTTTTAATTTTATAATTATATTGTGATAAATTTTTAATTTATATTTTAAATTTTAATAAAAAAATAATTTTTTCATTCTTCCACATTAAGATTTTAAAAATAAATTATAAATTTTTAAAATTTAATATTTAAGACTTAATTTAAATTAATTATTTTTTTTAAATTTTTTTATTATTTTTTTTAATAATATTAATATGATTGAGTACGCAACGAGTAAGAGGACAAAAAAGGGGAGGGGCATTAATTAATGGAAGAAAAATGGGACCAAATCCCAACTATAAGATTCATGGATTATGGAGTGCGAGATGCGAGGCATGATATTGTGCGTTAAATAGTACAGTAATAGATTATTGCTTATCGTGCTCAGCGAAGTCAAAAACGTCTCACAGTGTCCACATAGAGCAGCCGATTTGACGAAGTAAAGCTTGTGAAGCAGCAAGGGGTGAAGGTGGAAAACAATTACCTAATGATTGTATTTCAGTGCAAGTTTTGTATCTACGAGGTTTGAAAAGACCGCGCGTTGCCAACAAACGGGAAAAAAGGAATAACCACATGGTATTCTTTTTTATATAGATATTAAATTTAAAAACATATAAATTTAATATAAATTGTATGGATTTCTTAAGGAGAACAAAGTGGACTGAAAAATCATGCATCCCGAGATGAGGAAGAGATGATAATAAATTTAAAACAGTTTATTTTAATTCTATTAAAATAAAAACAGTGTTAAGTTATGGTCTGAACACCCTGAATTATCCCAAATCTTTTCTAAAATTAAGGGTTATTTTTATCTTTAAATTATACATGTAAGGTCATAAATGATCTTAAATTTAATTATTGGTTAATCTTATCTCTCAATTTTAAATATTCTTTTCCTCACCACCTTGCAATTTTCTCACTGTTAGTGAACATTGTGTTATTTTTTTATTATATAATATTTAAGTTGAGGGGTAAAAATAATCATTTTAATAAAAGTTAAGAGATAAAAATAATCTTTAACCTAATAAAAGATATTAAAAAATAGCAGAACTTGCTAATAACTAACAGATATTAAATGTTTGTAATATTGAGGTGATAACGAAGGAAATTTTTAAAATTAAAAAATAAAATTCACCTATATTTAAATTTAGAATTATTTATGACTTTTTATATGCAATTTAGACGAAAATGATATTTAACTCTTTTCTTCTAGTTAATTACATTATGTTTGTAATTTTTTCAAAGGTATATAGAGCCCGTTATTATTTCAGCATATTATAAGACGCATGGAAGAAAGTAAAAACTTGTACGATTTATGTTTTCTGTAACACAGGATTGTAAATTTATTCCCAGTATGATGACGACAAGAGTAGTTAGGATGAAATTGGATTATAATATATAAATAAAGAATTATTTTAGAACAAACCCTAAAGCTAAAATTAAGTAACACATATTTCAAAAGTTTTATTCTGAGGACTTGTGGTTTATTCTGAGCACAGATGAGAGGGTAAAACGGTGGATTTGTGGGAGAAGGGGACGGCGGGTTTTGAGTGACGTGGCGTCCCAAACAGGATCGGATGTGGCTGACATTGTCATTGTGTTGTGTTACTTTCATTATCACTTTATTATTTATTATGACTAGCAAGTACTGCTCGTACTCAGCCCTCTTCTGAAAACAGTTTGAGTGAATAACATTTTTAGTCTTTATGTTCTTAAAAACTTACAAGACTTTCACCAGCCAGCCCTCTCACGCCTCGCATAACAAACCCTTCCTACGAAATATATATATCACCAAGACTCTTATTTGTTTCCTTCATGATTTTCTTCCATTTTTTACTCATTGTCTGTAATTAAGACACTACTATGATGCAATAATTCAATGTAATCAACAACACAATGATAGAAAGCATTAAACTTTTTTCAACAAATTTAATGTTTTAACTTTGTTTTAACTCCCTTTCTTAATAGATACGATGTCCTTCAAATTTAAGAATTTATTCCCTGGTAGTACTAACTATTAGTAATTCATTGGCTTTATTATTATTTTTTAAACAAAAGAAAAGCAAATTTTGAGGGACTGCCAACCCTCCCTTATACCATAAAATCAAGCAATTTCTCTATTATTTTGATCTATTTGTCATATATATACTCCCTTTATTTAAAAATATAAGGTAATTGAATTTTATTTTTCAATAAAATATTTACCTATTTTTAAAATGATCCTATCTTTTTATATTTATCTCTATTAAATATTATGTAATAAATATAAAATTATTGGCACTTAAAAAAAAAGATGGTGATTACACTTTAAAAAATTAAAAATATTTTATACTTTTGAATACCTAACTCTTTAAAAAATATCTTATATTTTTTAACAAAGAGAGTATATAGTTAGTTATTAATTATAATTATTTTTATTTAAAGATGTGAAGAATGTCTTTTTAGTTGCTTAATTTTGAAATACAAAATTCGTGTAACATCGTTTTAGTCGCTAATCTAACCTTCTGTTCTTTCCCTGGGAAAAAAAAAAAAAAAATCCTGCATTTTCATATATTTCCTTGGAAGCCACCATTTTGGTGTTTTATTCAACTAAACTTCATGCCAGACAGAAATACAAGGCAGAGTTGAAAACAACTCTGCAACTTCAACTCACAGACCATACCCCTCTGTCCCGTGCTCTTCTCTCGCCTCGCCGCGATCCAATTCGATCACATACCCACTTCACCACCATGATCAAACTCTTCAACAAGACCCTCCGTCGCTTCTGCTCCAATCTCCGTTGGCCACTTCGCCGACGTTCCTCCTCCAAAATCGTCATCAGGAGGTTCGGCAAATCCCACCCAACACCACCTTCATGCCACGCTAAACGTGAATCCGCCACCAATGGGCTTGCCGTTGTTCATCCCAATGGCCAATTGGGCAGTCCAGAATCGCAGAAACCAGTACGGATTGCGACATTCAACGCTGCCCTGTTCTCCATGGCACCTGCTCTTCCCAAGTCAGAAAAAGGAGCCACCTTTGACGATGAGAACGGCGGTGCCGTCAAAACCAGAAGACCCTTGGACGTGAAATTACGAGCAAAGTCAGCGAATGATCGCCCGAAAAGCATACTAAAGCAGTCCCCTCTGCATCCAAATTCCATGAATAGTCCCGACAATCTCAGCAATCAACAGAAGTTCGCGAAATCAAGGCTGAGAGTTTCCATCAATTTACCTGACAACGAGATTTCTCTGCTGCGAAACCGGCAGTCGAGTTTCTCGGATTGCGAGAGGGAGGGCTCTTCGAATGTTTCGAAAGGGAAGGTTCCCATGAAAGCCTCAGCGAGTTTTTCGGCATATACGTCGAACAGAAATAGTAGAACAGTGCTGGATGTTCTGAGAGAATTGGACGCTGATATTTTGGCGCTTCAAGATGTGAAGGCAGAGGAAGAGAATGGAATGAAGCCTTTGTCTGATTTGGCTTCCTCACTGGGAATGAATTATGTGTTTGCTGAAAGCTGGGCTCCCGAGTACGGCAACGCTATCTTGTCCAAGTGGCCGATTAAACGCTGGAAAGTCCAGAAAATCTTCGACGACACCGATTTCAGGTGACTATTTTCGATTGGGAATTTCCATTTAACACAATCATTTGAGTAAATTTTTGAGTTCATTACACTATTCTTCCCTTTCTTCCAATCATTTCTCCTTTTTTTCAATATTACCATAAATTCAGAATTACATTCTCTTTCACTGTTCAACTGTGTTTCGTAGAAACTTCATCGTAAAGTAGATAGATAGATACCAGTCACTTTTCTCGTAAAGTCACCAATTATTCCAAAGCTTTTTCTATATACAAAACTGTTAATCTAGCTTTCTCGAAGTGTGATAATCCTCATATTGCTATTCTATCCTCTACTTTCTTTTCTCTGTTTGTATTTTTTCTCTCACGCGCTATTTTTGCAGTGGGCAATGATCTTGCCAACTGTAATAGCTGTATGCACTGAGGCAGGGCAGGATACATCCTACCTACTTCTGAAGTATTCTGCGTTGTCAACATTGTTCTCTTGAGAGAGATATTCTTTTAGTATTTTATACCAGAACCTTAGTGAAGATATTTTTTTTTATGGCCGATTCTTTCATTTCATCAATTACTCTTAACTAGTTGCATCTAAAAATGTTAACTAAAATTTTTTCTTTCTGATACCGTGCTCCGTCATTCATGACTGAATTTTATGGGATTTTGCAATATCTCATTGAATATTGGCTTACTTCTCTTGGTCGATTACAGCATTTAATGTTCTCTTTCTTTTAAGTATACCTTCAGATCCTAAGAAACTAATGGTTTTCTATTTCCTTAGAAGTTAGAAGTAGTATAATGATTTTGCTTGTATTTATGGATAATATAATTAATATTAGCAAAAAGGAGTATGAAAAAAAAATGATGTTTGGTGTGGAGGAAACTTGTAATGCAATGTAGGTATTGTATGTTATCACCTGTTAATATTTATTGCAAATAAATAATTAATGCGGCTATTTTAAGAAATACCATGAAGCTCAACTTGTCTGATATTGAATACGGAGAATGTCAGAATTGTATAAATTTCTGATTTTTCTCGGGTTCATAATCTGTATAAGAAATTTATCTTGATTTAGTCTAAAGCTATCTCCCGGTTATGACCATCAACTAAAGTAATTGTGGAACTCGCATTAGTGGAAATCCAACCTGTACTAGCATAATCAGATGAGAAGAGAAATAATAAAAATGTAGCTAGCTTTGAAATTCTGTGGTCAGAGAATGACTGAACAACAAGGCTGAATGTGACAAACAACAAATTGAAATCTGTTGGCCTCAGGAATGTTTTGAAGGCCACCATTGAGGTACCACAAGCTGGAGAAGTCAACTTCTACTGTACTCACCTTGATCATCTGGATGAGAATTGGAGAATGAAGCAGATAAACGCAATAATCCAATGTAATGATGAGCCTCACGTCTTGGCCGGCGGTCTTAATTCACTTGACGAAACTGATTATTCCCAAGAAAGATGGACAGACATTGTAAAGGTGTGTGTGTGTGTGTGTGTGTGGACATAGAAGCATTCTCATTCTTCAGTGAGGCTTGCCTCTGATATGAATTGTTTCGTGCCCAGTACTATGAAGAGATGGGGAAGCCAACACCAAAATCTGATGTGATGAGATATCTGAAGAATAGACAGTATACAGATGCAAAGGAGTTTGCTGGGGAATGCGAGTCAGTTGTCATGATTGCCAAAGGCCAAAGTACGAATAATACAACAATGTCTTGAGCCTTTGTCTTAGTCGAGCTTCTGGTTTTTTGAAAGCTGATAACTTTGTGTCTTGTGCTAAGCTAAATGTCTCTAACACTGCATGCAGGTGTGCAAGGAACTTGTAAGTATGGAACCCGGGTTGATTACATATTATCATCCCCAAATTCTCCGTACAAGCTCGTTCCAGGGTCCTATCTGGTCCTGTCTTCCAAAGGCACATCAGATCATCACATAGTGAAAGTTGATCTTGTAAAAGTAAATGGTTATCCTGAAGAAAATGTGACGAAGAAGCAGCGAAAACGGACGCAAAAAGTCGTGAGAATAACACAGTCAAATCCATCAAAAGGTATATGGTCCACAAATTAACACTGAACAGAAAGATTGAGTTCCTTTTTGTTAAAAATATTTGGTATATGGGGTCTTTTGATCCGATTCCTTCCCGATCCTGTGATGTATACAATTTCTTTCTTTCTTTCTTTTTCTTTTGGTTCTGAAAAGAAAAATAGGTTTAGAAGAAAACGAAAGGAAGGCGAGATGAGGCTGTGTCATGCATTTTTCGTTTTTTCTTTTGTATAGCTTTTGATTGAATGTTTTTCAAGGCGATTATTGCTTCTTATTCTTTGACAATATTCATAGACGACTCTTATGAGTTGAATATGAATTCATGTATCAAGAGCTGTGTGGAATATATTTGTATTTTTTCCCCCTCCCCTTAAATGATTCATTGCACATGTTAATAAACACTAACTACTCCGAATTTTGGGTGTTAAATTAATCAAGCAGGACTATCCAACGTTATGCTTGGGAGGGATACGTGCACGTAGTATCAAAGACTAAATAGTACTCCCCTCATTCTTATATATAAAAAAAATTATTACTTTTTGCTTATTTTTTATAAAAACAAAATCATATTTTTTAATAAATATTTATTACAAACTTCTTAAATTATCTTTCATAATTTTATCATTCATAGTTATATATAATAATTAATGAAAACTTGATTAATATAATTAATAAAAAAATTTTAATTTAATTATTTTATTTTTAAATATAATTAATATATAATTGATATAATTAATTAATTTTTTTAAATTGTGTGATATAATTTTTTTTTTAATAAATACAAACAGAGAGAGTCAATTGGAGGAAACAAGTTTGGTAACTGACAACGAATTCTCAGGCTATGTTTATGGAGAATATGCGTGATAAAGGCGACATAAAAAAATGGAGTAGGCTACCATTTAATTTCCATCAATTTTTAAGCTTACCTCTCAAGAGAGAGAGACTTGAGTAGGATATCATTTAATGCCCATCAATTTTTTAAGCTTACTGTGAGAGAGAGAGAGAGAGAGAGAGAGAGAGAGAGAGAGAGAGACCCATCAATTTTTAAGCTTACCCAAAGAGAGACCCTATTAAAACTGGGAAACGGGCAGACATAATTCACAAAGGTTGGCTTCTCTGGAAACAATTTTTTTAGTTTTTTGATTGAGAAGGTCTGTAGAAACATTTTCATTAAAAACTGAGGGTAGCTTCTCATTTTTAATAGGTAGCTCCTCACGTTAAATTTAATAGCTACCATTAGTTCAAACAGAGTGATAGGATCAGAGACTATTGGTGCTTAATTATGCTCTGCAGACTACAGGCAGCAAGGCACTGATCACTATACTCCAAAAGAATCAATTTAAATACATTCCTTTTGCCTTTACAACAGAAAATGCTTCCCAGAAAACTCGCAATCTAAAATCTAAATCTACAAACAAGTCATGCCTATACTAAGTAGTGGAAAACGATCCAACAACTCAAATACTATGTACTCAGTATTCTAGAGTCCGAACTTCCTTCTTCCTCCTTTGAATTAGAAGAGTGGCATTCACTTTCAAATGCAAATGTTCGATAACCTGTCGGACTAGAGAGCTGACCAGAGCCAAAGCTACCAGCAGATCTCTCAATATCAAGCCTTCCAGAAACGAGTGGAATTGGTCGTTCTGGTATGGAGGGTACTGATTGCTCAGTCTCCAACATCTTCACCACCTGATCCATGGTTGGCCTGGCATATAGCTGAGGGTGAGAGCAAAGCACGGCTATTAACACATACTTCTCAAGCACTTCTGGCGAACCCGGTTCTGGCATACCATCTTCAATAACATCCAAAGTTCTACCTGCCCTGACCAATGACCAGGCCAAGTCACTCAAAGATGAGGGCTGGCCATCCTCGTTCATCTGAAGAGCCTTCTTCCCGCTCAAAAGCTCAAGAAGCACAACACCATAACTGAAGACATCACTTCTCTCTGTCAATTGTCCATACAATGCATACTCTGGTGCTACATACCCCATTGTTCCAGCTACACGCGTGCTCATATGCGTCATTCCCTCAGGGTTGAACTTTGCAAGTCCGAAGTCTGCTACTTTAGCTTCAAACTTCTCATCCAGAAGGATATTACTGGCTTTAATATCCCTATGGATAATGGAAGGTTGAGCTCCGTAGTGCAGATAAGCCAGCCCCCTTGCAGTGCCCAGTGCAATCTGTTGACGGACTGGCCAGCTGAGTTTCTTTCCTGTAGAACCAAATAAATGATCATGAAGACTCCCATTCTTCACCAAATCACAAACGATAATCCTCTGGTGACCCTCTAAATTAGTTGTGGCTGTACAATAACCTCTCAGAGCAACTAAATTTACATGCCTGACGCTTGCAATAACCTCAACTTCATGGGTGAAACTTGCATCTCCTGAAGCAGAACAATTCTTGAACCTTTTCAATGCAACTTCGGTTCCGTCCAGGAGCAACCCTTTATACACATTTCCATATCCTCCTCTCCCTATTATGCTATCCCTAGAGAAGTTCCTGGTTGCCTTCTTGATGTCATCAAATGTAAACCTAATCAAAGTGGTGCTCTCCTTTATAGAATCCAACCCCGACACGACCGCCATCTCAGTTTTACTAATACCCTTCATGCCCTTCCCCTTGGATCTCCGGTGAAGCCAAAGCCCCGCAACCACCAGAAACAAAGCCAACACACAAACAATCACGACCGCCACAATAATAATCGTTCGTTTATTACCGTTGGAACCTGGCGAGTTGAAACTCAGAAGGAACACGCACTGGGCAGTGCCTCTGTCGGCGGGTCCAGCCTGGTTGACATAGGCGGCGGCGTAAATTGGGGGATAGGCCGTACAATCGGAGACGTTCCCAACCGAGGTTCCTTTCACGAAGGGTTGCATGCCCGATAAGCTCGTGGTGCAGAGGGCGCAGGGGGAGTTATTCTCGAGCGACTGATTGCATTTCTGCCGGACATCCTGAATAACCGAGTCGGGAATCTGGGAGATGAATTCATCTTTAGTGGTGATGTTCTGACAGCCCTGGGAGATCCAGGTTGTCTGGAAGCCACAAGCGGAGCGAACGTCTAGGTTGGGAAGGTATTGATTGATGAACTTCTGGAAATCATCCCAGCAAGTCTCGGAAGAGTTGAGAGGCGGAAGGAAGGAGCCGGTGCGACGGAGGTAATCGGATTGAACGAGACGGATGGCGGAGCGGGAGAACTCGCAGACAGTGCCGGAGTCGACAGAGGGCCGGTCACCGCCGGCGACAGCGTTGAGGACGGTGAAGTTGAGAGGGCACGGGGCATTGAGACCGGTGTCGTTAGCGGAGAGGGAAGAAAGGGGGAAAGCGAGGAAAACAGAGAAGAAGAAGAGGGGAAAGAGGGACATTGACGAGGAGGGAGGAGATTGGCGAGAGTGTGAGCGAAGAGGAAGAAGGTGAGATTGGAGGTGGAGGGGCGAGCGAGAGAGGAAAAGAAGATGGGTTTGACTTGAGGTGATAAAGAGAGAAGAAGATGGTCATGGTGGCTTAGGTTGGGCAAATGGGGCAGCCAGCCAGCTATTTTGACGATGCTTTGACTTACAGCCAAGAAGCTTACAAGAATCTCCCCCGGCCATCACTGTTTCAGTTTCATCTAGAACGCCCAATGTACCACTTCAAGTTTCCCTCCGTTGTTAATTTTATCTAACACGTGCGCCATTCATATTCAATCCAAAATAATAATTATTCATGCAAGTTGGACGGTTGTTGGCAAAATTTGGAAACAAAATACTCACACCCGATCCTTTTCTAGGCACAGTTAACAGAGGTACGGCTGGCCAAAAGAAAAAAAAAAACAAAGGTACGAAAATTAATGTTTTTAAATTTTATATTTTAATAAAATAATTACTTATAATAAAATTAATTTTATCTTTTTATATTTATTTTTATTAAATATTTTACGAATAATATTATTAAATATAAAATTATTTATTAATAAAAATATTTTTTAAAAAAGATAATAATTACATTTTAAAAAATTAAAAATATTTTACATTTTTAAACATTTAATTTTTTAAAAAAATATTTTATATTTTTAAATAAAAAAAGTACTCATTGCCATTTGGATTCTAACCAAGTATCCTAATTTACTAGTTATGCAGGCCAAAAATCTACCAGTTATGAATAGCCGTGCCATCAAGTTTGGATTGGGATTCTATGTACTGGAATTTGTGCAGTGACCGAGAAGTCAATTAATCTTGATCGTGCTTTTTATCTAACGGATGGGAGAAGAGAGAGAAAAATGCATAATTTTTCAGGAAAAGGACAATAAAATCTCACTTAAATATATAAATGATAATTTAATTTTTTAAAATGTTATAATTTTTTTAAAAGTTTTTAGAGACTTTTCTGTCATTAATGAATTTATATAAATTATTAAATTACTCTTGTTGAAAATAAATGATTCACAAATTTTGTTTAAATATTCACAAATTTCCTTTTTATATTCCCAACAATATAATACCAAATAAAAAATTCGTTGTATTGTTGCGAATATAAAAAAAAGTTATAAATATTTAAATAAAACTTATAAATTATTTATTTTTAATAAAGATAATTTGATAATTTATGTAAATTCATTAATTACAAAAAAATTTTAAAAGATTTCAAAAAAATTATTATATTTTGAGATATTAAATTATCATTTTTATAAATAAGAAAAATTTTATTATCATTTTTCCTAATTAATTTCTCAGGTGCGAAACACTCAAACATTAAGATGTTAAAATTTATTTTTTCTTGCCTCTTGGTCGTTCTTTTTTATATATTTCTATTTACAACTTGACAGAGCATCCAGAAATGGGACTGTGGTGAGACAACCAATTTCAATGATAATAATTAAAAAAAATCTAGACTTCGTAGTGATGAATCGAGCAAGCTTGTGTGGGTAAGAAGAACTACAAGTTTCTATGCATGGCTAATTAGGGATCCTATGCCCAAAAAAAAAATCTTAGGGTGGTGACGCTGGGCGTGTCAAGAGGAGATGAAAAATGTGACTACTTGGAAAGTGCATTGTGTTCGGAGAAGGGTGCTACAATGGAGAGCCATTCTTCATAGTGGGAAATCCAATCTAAAGGATGCCGACACAAAGGAAGACAACAGATATGTGCCGATGTCGGTGCATGATGAGATAAGGAAGAGTCAAAGTTCTTGGTGATGGATGAGAAGTCGCTGGAGCTTGATGTCACGGCAGCAACGAGACTATCACAAAATACTCCCTTCACTTAAAAAATGTAAGATATTTTTTAAAAAATAAAATATTTAAAAGTATAAAATATTTTTAATTTTTTAAAATATAATTATAATCTATTTTTTAAAAGTATCTATTTTAATAATAACTTTACAATTATTGTAGAGTGTTTAATAGAAGTAAATATAAAAAGATATGATTAGTTAAAAAGCAAGTAATTATTTTATTGAGAGGTAAAATTTGATTAAAAATATTTTATATTTTTAAATGAAGAAAGTAGATTTTAAAATTTTAATGTTTGCGTGCTTTTCAAATGAGAATAAATTAAGCACCTCTCCTCTTTCCTAGCCTTTAGATAAAAAGCACGGTCAAGATTAACGCACTTCTCAAACACTACACAGATTCCACTGCATTGGATCCAAATCCTACAATAAATCCTCCCGTCATCTCTCTCCTGCTTGTGTTGGTAGATCATCATCCATTAAGAAACTTTAGAAATACAGAAATAGGGATATAAACTTGTTTATTAAAAAAAATTAGTTTGCAAGTTTTTATAATATTTTTCAATTTCAAATTAAGTTCTTGTTCTTTAATTTATTTTAATTCACTTTTTTATCTATTAAATATTAATCCCCCGAATGTTTAAATTAGTAATAAATAATTAATTCTTTCAAACTAAAAATAATTTTAAAGTTTATAAAAAATAAAATTTAATACATTTGCCAAAAAAGGAAAAATCGATGTGATCCAATGTTAAATTTTGCAATTTTATTGTTTTCATGAAAATTTTGTATGTATAAAAATTATTTAAAAGTCATGATTTAATTATATAAATATTGAGTTATGAAAATTGTAATAAAAATATTAAATTTATTGATCTATTTTTAAAAAAAGAATCAAGGAGTTTAATATTCAAGAATTAAGGAATCCAATGGATCAAACTATAAAGATTTGATTGAAGTAAAATAAATTATAAAAAATTAATTTAAAATTGAGAAAAATTATAAAAACTTACTTCCTCTTTTAAAAAATATAAGGTATTTTTAACCGAACCCCATCTCCAATAAAATAGATATTTACTTTTCAACTAACCTTATCTTTCTTTATTTATCTTTATTAAATACTCCCTCCGGTCCTATTTATAAGTCACTTCTACCAACCTCACCAATACCAATACAATAAAAGTATAAAGAATAATTATCAATAAAATTCCAAATTTACCCTTACAAATGAAAAAGGCAAAAGTACAATCAATGAATAAATTATTATTTTCAGAATTTCTCTCTCATGCTTTATCAAGCATGAGACTTTTACAGTGACAGTACAAGACTTTTACAGTGACAGTATGAGGCTTCTGGAGTGACAGTATGAGGCTTCTAGCGGGAATAAAGCCTTTTATAGTGAAAATGAGACATTTACAGTGAAAAATTGAGCCTTCACGCGGGAATGAAAAATTAGAGGCAGTGTTTCACATTTTGAGAAACTTATATCCCACTAAAAGGGAATCAGACAGCATTGAAAACAACAGAAAAGAAAGGCACAAAAACTGTACTTTTCCACCATGGAAAAGTGCTCCTTCTCCTTTGATTTAAATGCTCCAGCCAATGAGGAAGATGGTGGGGACAACAACACCATTTCTTTAGACTTAAATGCTCCTCCCATGTGTGAGAATGTCCACCTGAACAGCAATCAAAATGAAGAGCAACATGTTACAATCAATGAAGGAAATGGTAAGAATCTCTCTCTTTATGAAGCCCATGAATATCCCCATCTTTTGTTATTTCTTCTTTCAATGATCTAAATTATTTATGTTCAGCTGATGAGTTAGAGAACATGATTAAACAAAAACGTACAGTAAAATGGCATTAAATGGCTTCAATGATAAAAATCAACCTTTCTAGCACATGAAAGATAGCTCTCTCCCTACCCACCATCTTCATTTTGTATTGTGCAAAGAAAATTATAATGCATTATTGACTAATAAATTCATAGATTTAATTCAGTTTATAAAATGTGAAGTGATAATATTATATTGACAGAATCGTATAATCTCTCAAGTTCTACATTTTCACCCACAATCTCCAATGACAGTTTTGATAGAAGAAGACAACACTAAAACAACCAATAACACCATATGGTAATACAACACATATATGAAATATGAAGTTGAACACTAGGATGACATAACCATAAGTAGAAATCAAATGATGCTCTAATGTTGTCTCCCTTGTCGCTACTAAAACAATTTAAACATTTCTCAATATCATTTTGAATTGTTAAAGATTTAGAATAATTATCATGATACCAGATGCCAAAAACTTATAGGATTTTTGAAGCATATAAATCAGGCTTAGTCACACTAATCCCATCAATGTCTTTGTTAAAAGCACCAGATGCAGTATCATAGCCTGCTTCAGCGCCACACACAATGGTTGGAGTACCAATGGTGGCAGAAGAATCAATGATAGGTAACTATTTCAATGCAATGACTATTGTTACAGTAGTATGGTCATAAAAGTATTGAACCTTTAACTGCCAAAGCCAACATGAACATATTTTTCAAAATAAATGTGAGGGTAAATTTCCTTGCTCATAGATACAAACTTCTAGATATGAGAACTCTCATGAGCTCTTAAAATACATTAGGGCGAGAGTCTAGCACTTTTGGATTACCAAATAAAACAAAAGCAGCCATTCTCATATGAGAGTGTATATTCTTCAAGAAAAATTGAGTTGAGATAAAGAAAGTAAAAAAATTTGTCACAAGCATAAAAACAAAGTCTTGCCGTGAAACATATGCACATAAAGCTTACGTCTAAACATCACAAATAAAGAAAAATGACATAATAGAGTTATCCAATATTTACCTCAAATTAGGCATGATGCTCATTCCACAGATATCACAGCTATTGAAAAAGAATCAACTAATAATGAAGAAATGTCTCACACTAGTACCATTCATCGTGTTTTAGATTGAAAACCAGGAAAAAATAAATCAATGACCAAGATAAAAAATGTACATGAAGAAATCAAAACCTTACCTTTGCCTCATCTCTGTTGAGATAACTTCATCGGTGACAACAATGGTATCCTCATCTTTGATGGTATCCTCACAGTTTTAAAAGCTCACCCACAGCAACTTGTATAAATTCTCATTTTTTCTGCAAAAAAGGAAAAAAAAAATTTTATTAGATTATATGGTCTATCAAGAAATCTAACATTTGTAAACTTTTGAAACAAAGACAGATATGGGACGCAACACAATTGAATCACCAAGGCAGCCACCATGTAAAAGAAGAAGTTTCTTATCAAATGAAAAACGTGTCT